TTGAAGATTAGATGAAGGAATCCGGCTTAAGAACAATATATGAAGAGTAACTGCGTTTTGATGAATCTCCTGTGATAACATTATTTTTGGTACTTTCATTTCGTATAAAAGCGTATGAATAAAATATTCGAAGGTCGATCTCACTAGAAGAGGACCATTGAATCCCGTTGTACTGCAGCCGTTTGGCTTTTATACGACGTTTAGAATGATGCAATCCACGAGACCTCCTCCCTCTTTTCAGGTGAATACAGACTGGGCTTTCGTCCATCATTTGAAGGACATCATCAGAGCTGGGACTCATTGTTGCAGAAGTATCAAGTTAACATTTGTCTTAGCGTTAACTTGAGAATGAGCAAGAAGTTAAGTAAAGAGTCAATAATTAAACTGACCAACCTAGCAATGTACCGTGCATATTTTATCTTTAACGGTAGACTGTAAGGACAAACACCAGGTTTAGCCATGGGATCGTGTTTGTCACCAATTTTAGCAAATAATTACGTGGCTCAATTTGAGGAACGTTTAATTGAGGAGTTCCTAAATTATTACTTCGCTATATGGACGAACTTTTTGCTATTTGGCAACATGGATAAGAAAACAGAGAATTTTCTTGGTTTGATGAACAGGAGCGATGGGAAGACGAAATTCACCATCGAGTTAGAAAAGGAAACTGGTTTACATTTTCTTGATGACCTATTTAGCAGAGCGGACCAGATTAGGTCGAGATATGTAAAGGAAACCCATAAATGCAGGTTTCCTTTTGAATTTTTTCTCCAACCACACTTATAGAGTTTGAGTAGGAGTTATGAAGTCTATGATATTAATGAGCATGCGTCTGGTAGATGTTAAACATCGGAACCAGAAATTGATGAATCTAAGGCGAATTATGGTTGAGAATAATTATCCAGGAGGGCTGGTCGACAACTATTTTAGAATATTGTCAAATAGAATGAAGGGAAATACATATTTGAGGCCAAATAAAAAGATAGATCACTCTACCAGGATCATAATGCCATCATTGTGTAATCTGTCGAAGAGGATAGGCAAAGTACTGGGGAGGTGGGATATCAGGATCATTTATAAATAGAAAATAACAATGTCCTCGGTATTGACTTTTTTTCGAGAACACTCTGAGCCGCTCTCCAGATCGGGCTGTTACATGATTTTGTGTTCATATGGTAGTGCCTATGCGGGAGAGATCTGTAGATCCATACATAAAAAGTTATCCGAACATAAAACAGACTGCAAGGATATGTAAGTCCAAAAATCGGAATTGGCCGAACACATGCCTCGCACGGGCACCAGATAGATTGGTCTGATGCCAAACGCTTAGCTGGACATGGAGACTATACCAACCAGTAATCGAAAGATAAGGGAGGTGATAGAATGAGTTTAGGAAGTAAGGCGGAAACAACTTGTGGTTGCCGGATAGGTTTAGAGAGAGGGAGGTAACGAGAAGTGCCACCGAGCATAAGGAGGCTTGATTAGGCTGGAATTTGGTTTTGACTCTCACATCACACTCATTGCAAGAGCAATGCACTCACACAACACGTGTGCAATGGGATGCAACCACATGCGGTAACATTGCAGGATCAAAAGCATAAGTGTTTCAGGAGAGGATTCAGCTGTTCGGCTTCAATTGCACCCATTTCACGCCTCATCTGCAGCCATTTCACATGTCATCCAGAGCCACTTAACTTAACTTATGAGCAAATATGGAGGCAAAGCGTAGGACACCCAACCAAAAGTTGAGATGCATAAGTGAAGCATATTGGAATCTAAGAAGGAGATAGGTTTGAATTGGCCATCTTTCTCGTCTTGGTGTTCTGGTGCATTTTCGTGAAGCATGGTGTCCTGCTCTGACGATGTTCGTCACATGACGGACGAAAGCTCAGCAAAGATTGATCGGGGTCGCAGGGCGATGCGCCGAGGACCTACTCGCACAAATATACAACAACAGCTCCAAGGCAACCCCCCCCCAGCCTCTGGTGGAACTCACGAATCCTTTCCACTCACCTCTTCAAACGAAACGAAAGGTACTCCAACATGAATCTATTAAGGGATGCTTCAAAACCCAGTTTTTCTA